TGCCAGGCATAGAGCCAGTCATTGGGTTGGCACCATTAAACAGGGCGGATCCTAAATTAAAGGCCTGAGGAGAGATGTGGAGTAGTCTGAGGCAACTCAGACAGACTCAGATGAATGTGAATGCAGAGAAGGCTTCTCTGGGGCAGCAGAGTTTGAGCTGAGAGACTGAAGAATGAGTGTTCTGGGTAGATATATATACAATACTTTTTTTTTATTTATTTATTCATACTGGGATTTAAACCTAGGTGCTTATCTCTGAGTTACATCTTCCTCCTTGTTTTAGATTTTTAAAATTTTGAGACAAGGTCTTATTGTGTAGTTCAGGATGGCCTGGAACTCACTATGCAGCCCAGGCTGGCCTTGAGCTCACCATGGCAAACCTCCTATCTCAGTCTCCTGAGTGCTGGGATTGCAGGTATGCACCACCATATCCAGCTTACAAACTTGATTTTTATGTAATTAAATTCATGGATTTTTTAAGATATCTAGGTTTTATGTCACACTAAAGTTTACAATGTTCCAATCTCGCATTTTTCTTCTCCAACTTTAGGTTTTGCATCATTAGTTTGAAAAATTGTTTTTAATATTTGTATAGTTTACACCAAGCAAAATTTCAGGTCAGCTCCTAGGTGTACAATGTGGCCCTTATCTGTGTCAGAATACAGATCATTTCCAACACCCCCAGAGGGCTTTTGGGTTCCCTTCCAGATTGGTAGCCACTGATCTGACTTTTATTACAGTAGCTTAGTGTTTGTGTCTTCTGCTTATTTTAGAACATCATAGAGACATGTACCACCATGTCTGACTTAAAATCAAAAGACTTAAGAATATTTTTGAAACTTTTTTCTCCTTTCCTACAATCTAATTTTTCTTTTTTTTTTTTGGTACCGGGGATTGAACTCGGGTCCTTGCGCTTGCAAGGCAGGCCACAGAACCGCTGAGCTAAATCCCCGGCCCTAATTTTTCTATTCTTTGTCCCTGCACAATGTGTACGTGATTCTCTCTGAGAGCATTATTCTGG